AATATATACATATATAATATATATTGATTTTATTTTTTTTTAAAGGGAAGGATGGTTTGCATCAATTCTGTTGGTGTATTTTTGCACTAGGTGCCAAATGAATTATGAAATATGGGTCATTTAAGGGGGTGGCCTAAGTTACCCCGGCATGGAGTCACTAGGCCGGTGTACCAAACTTGTACAAAAATTAAAGTAAACCCCAACACTGGGGTTACTTAGGCCACTGAATATGTAAACATCTGCTGTCTTTCTTATTTGGCAACTATTAATAGACTTTATTTTTCCCAATGGCAACATTTACTGGTTATATACTCATTTCCAAAAGAAACTTTACATAAAGAATAGTGTTTAATAAAAGATAAACCATTGCAGACACAGAGACAAAAGTTTACGTTTAAAAAGAAGAAGCATTTTTGGATTTGGAAACCTGTATTTTAATGCACATAATGCACACCTGGTGCTTCAAGCCCCACTTGAAATGATAGGGTCCAATTTATTTTTTTTAAATCAGAAAATGTGCATTTTTTCCACAAGGAAACTTTACATTGGCAAAGTAATTCTAAATTATGGTTTTCGAAACGTATGATAGCAAAGCACACTGGCACTGGTCAAATCAAAAGCATATCAGGTAATATCTGAAAGTATGGCAGGATTAAATATCGTCTGTGACCGCCGTCTGCAGCAATGACGGCGCGGCGCGTTTCCCTTTCGTCAACCCGCAGCCACTTCCCGAATCGTCAGCCACATACCAACCTTTGACACGGGTCAAACTTCCATCTATTTATAGGTAGTTACCGGGACATGTATAGGTGAAGTGATGTGCCGTGATAGTCGCGATATATTATTTATTGAGATTATTTTGGTCTCTCTTTACTCATCACCACGAGAATTTCTTGAAGTTTTTCCCTGAACTCTGCCTTTACTAAAATCTCAAATCTCGATCTAGATCTAGAGTTGTAACCTAGCGGCAGGTTGCAGATTTCTGTTATCCAGTACATTCCAGAGATTAAATAAATTGGACTAGACTCTAGTATAGTAGTAGTAGACTCTTCTACTTCTACTTCTAAACCTTCGAGGTTACAAAGGCCAAGACTAGGCTTGTAAGGATTCGTTTTGTTAAAAGTGTTGTTTAACACAAAGTCTA